TGACCGTGGCGATGGTGATGGTGATGATGGTGATAATGAAGGTGGGGATTGTGATTATGATGACGATGGTGATGCTAATGGTGATGGTAATGATGATGCTGATGATGATGCTGCTGATGGTGATGCTGCTGCTGCCGTTGCTGATGCTGGTGATGATGATGACATGATGATGAGATGATGATGATGATGATGATGATGATGGTGATGATGATGATGATGATGATGATGATGATGATGGTGATGATGGTGATGATGGTGATGATGGTGATGGTGGTGATGATCGGAGGAGGGGGGGGGACGGAGGGCACGCGGGGCGCTGTCTCTTCAAAACGACGACCCAACACCACAAGATGGTGGGGAACATAAATAAGAAGGAGGAGATGTGGAAGGGAGGTCAGAGTCACAGTTGCAGAAGCAGGGGGGTAGGGCCTTTCGAAGGGGCCACGCCGCACCTCCATCCCCTCGAGTCGCTTCGTTTCTGCGCCCCTCATCGTCGAGCTCGACCCGTCGAACGGGGGAAGGAGGAGGATCATGAAATTGGTGGGAAGGGAGAAGGGAGACGACCAGGAAGCAGGAGGAATAGGAGACAAGAGGAGGGGGCAGGGAGGAACGAAGAAGACGAGGGCGGGAGGCTCAGGAGGGAAAGGGGATGGATGTTTTGCCCAGCCCACAGTCCTTATCCACCTCAGGGTGACTCTCGTAGATCAGGGCCTTCACGTGCTGCAGTACCTACGAGAGATGCCAGTCGGGAATTCCTTGCCTCCTTTCCCCTCCCTCCTTTTCAACTTCCAGCCCCTCCCCCGACAACATCCAGACCTCCCTCCATATACCTTGCTACTCCTCTACTATGTGTATCGCCCCAGGAGCACCCGTGAATTATGCACGCGGCTGTTCTTCCTATCTCTTTCTATTCCTCCTCATTTCCCTCTTCATGTACCTCCTCCTTTTCCTCCTCCTCCTCCTCCTCCTCTTCCTTCTAGTCCTCCATCCTCTCCTTCCTCATCCTCCTCCTCCGCTTCTCCCCTCGCCCTCCTTTCCTCCGCCCGTTCTCCTGCCCATCTATCGCGCTTATTGGGCCCCCTGAAGCCTCCTCCTTTTTCTCCTCCTTTTCCTTCTCCCACTCCTCCTCCTCCTCCTCCTCCTCCTTTTAATGGGGCACCGGGACGCCCTCGAGAGACTCCGTCCGACACCATTTCAGACCAACACCAGCTTTCTGTTCTGGGTCTGGCTCATCATCATCATCATCATCACTGATCACAGCGCCTGTGTTCTGCTCGTCCTGAGGCGAGGAGGGGGCAGGGGTGAGGACAAGGAGGAATGCGCATGAACGGCAGAAACACGAGGGGGAAGGGGATTGAGGAGAAAGAGGATCAGGAGGAGGAGCATTAACAGCAGGAAAAAGGAGGATGGGGAAGCCAGAGTGCTCGCGAGCATAGGGGGAGTGGTGGGGGGCACCAACCGAGGCCAGGATGAGAGGGAGAGGGAGAGGGAGAGGACGAAGAGGATGATCAGTCAGAGTAGGAGGGAGAGGTAAGAGTGCGCATTATCAAGCAGACTGATCAACAGTGGGAATGAGAAGGGATGAGGAGGAGGACGACGAGAAGGGGAGGACGAGGACGACGAGAAGGAGGAGGAGGAGGAGGAGGGAAAGGAGGAAGAGGCGGGGGAGGAGGAAGAGGAGGAGGAGGAGAAGGAGGAGGAGGTTGTCCTGAAAGATCTGTGTGTCTTCTTCTCCTGAGACACCTCGTCCCATGTGGCCACAGCGCTGGGCGTCCTCGTGGACCTCCTACGGGCAGAGAGAAGGGGTCAGTGGTCAAGGTCGGCGGCGCACCGAAGGGGGTGGGGGTACGGGGGCGGGCTTGCTTTTGAGAAGCCCTGTCAAGGCATCTTAAAAGCCCCCCCCCTTTGGCGTAGCTCCCCCCGTTCCCCCACCCCCTTCGGCGCGCCGTCAACCAGCGCGCGATTGAGTTGAGTAGAGTAGTAGGCTCGGATTGGGTAGCCTGACTGTCGGTGGAGCGCCGCCGCGTCTGCGGCGCTCCTGGTTCTGGGCAGAGCGACTTGAGCTCGGCGATGGTGGGGCTCCTCGACTCCGTCGAGTGGCGCGAGAGGCGGTGCAGGTAGCTTATCATGTCATGTAGCACCTTGGGGGCTTGATAATACCCACATTGAGGATTTAGTTTGGATGGGGCCCCTTTGGGCCCAGGGGGCCCTGGTCAAACTTGAACGACTTCCGGGGGGCGGGTCGAACCGTTTCGAGCGACGGAATGCCGAGAGGTTGAGGGAGGGAGGGTGGTGGTGGAGGGGGGGGGGCTGCAGGAAAGGGAGGCGAGTCGTAGGAGAGGAGGTGGAAAAAGGGAGGTGGAGGTGGAGGAGAGGGGGGGAGGTGGAGGGGGAGGTGGAGGAGGGGAGGCGAAATGGCTGGAGCCATATGGGGGACTTCGGAAACCCTGAACCCAAACGCGTTTCAATTTTTTGGGGACGCATCTTTTACTTCCGCCGCTTTCCGCCAGCCTTCCGCCGGCTTCCGCCCGCAGAGGCGGCCTCGTTTTACTTCCGCCGACCTTCCGTCGCCTTCCGCAGAGGAAGAGATGGCAACTCCTTCGATCTTCGAAGGCAAGTTTTTTTTGGAACGCATCATATGTTGGAGCCGCGAAGGCCCGGGAGGGCCTGTCCCTCAGCAATGGCCCATTGGATCGTCACATTCTCTTGGTACCCAGCCTTCTGCTGGGGCGTGCCTGTGTCGAACGGCGTTTCCATTCTCATGTTATAGATGTGGACGGCGCTTGCATACTCATCAACTGTAGCCTGGGTCTGCCATTGGATTCGTACCCCTCCCCCTCCTTCCCCCTCTGTACCCATTCCCTCCCGTCCGTTTGCCTATCCCCTCCTTCTGACCTCCCATCCCCTTTCGCCCGCCCTCCGCTTTCCTCCTAGCCTCGTTTCTCCTTCCCTCCTTCCATCCGCCCTCTCACTCCCTCCCTCCCTCCATCCATCCATCCGCATCTTTCTCATTTCCATCCTCTAGGCCTCCTAGATGGGGTCGGAATAGATGGGGTCGGAGAATCGCGCTGCATCGCCGATGCATCGTCGACGTGGCTCGATGTGGAGCCCGATTTGCTTCGGGTCGACGTCGCCAATGCATCGCCGACGTCGACGATGCGTCGCCGATGCATCGCCGATACATCGGCGATGCATCGGCGATGCGGCGCGATCCTTCGACCCCATCTACTCGGACACACATCTATAGGAGGCCTCTCACCGTTCAGCCTGCTTCCCTTTCAAGTTATTCATGATAGCCTTGAGCACAGCAAAGTGGCATTCGCAATCTTTGGCCTGGACCTTCGTGGTGCCATCGAGCTGCCAGGCCTTCAGCAGAGGGAACAGCACCTTCGCGGTCACTATCCCATCCTCCTCCCCTTGCCTCACCGCCACATTCCTCTACCCTGGACTCTGGGCCTGGGAGGGAGGCAGGGGCCCGAATGGTAAGAGCGTGCAAGACGGCCCACGATGGCTCCAAGAGGACCCTTTGCGGTGTTTCGAGTCCCTCCCTCCATCTCCCAACCATTATTCCCCCCTTCCCCCTTTTCATGGTCTCACCTTTGTTCGTTCGGCCGCCGTGCGGCGTTCCTCTGGCATGTAGCAGAGGCCATCTAGGATGTCGTTGACAAAGGACATCGAGCCCCTTCGAAATCGCGCCGCCCCGCTTTCGACCCCCCCCCAAGCCCCATGCGTTTCGCCTTTGAGGCCCACTCTTTCCCCTCCCTCCTCCTCCTCCTCCTTCTCCTCCTCGTCCTCCTCTTCCTCCTATTTATCCGCCTCCTCCTCCTCCTCCACCTCCTCCCCCTCCTTTCCTCCCAATCACTCCCCCTCCTCTCGTTTTCCTCTCCTCCCTTGTGGGGGCGGGGATGGGGGGCCACGGCAGAGTGTAATCAGCTCAGGGGGGGAGCGTCGACCTGGAATCGGCGATGTCGCTGATAGATCTGCGATAGCCCCCCGATATCAACACAGCACGCTCCTGCGCAGGCTTGGGCTATATAGAGGCCCATTTCGGCGACACATCCTCGACTGGGGGTCGACGCTTCCCCCCCAGGGCCAATCCCCCTTCTGACGTTGCCCCCGAGGGGGGGGGGGGGGGTCGAAGGCGCGCGGCTGGGGGAAAAAACTGGGGGCGGACGAAGGCGCAGACGCCTCTCAATCGGCCAGAACGGCTAACGAGAGGAGGAGAAGGAGGAGGAGGAGCAGGAGCCGCGGAGGAGCTGCAGACGCCTCCCAATCGGCCAGAACGGCTAACGAGAGGAGGAGGAGGAGGAGGAGGAGGAGGAGGAGGAGGAGGAAAAGGGGGCAGGGATGTGGAAGGGGGGAAAGAGCAGGGAAGGAACAATGAAGGCAATGGCCAGTAATGCTTGGAACGACTAAGTGAGAATAGCGAGAAGAAGGAGGGGCAAGGTGAAGGGGGGGAACGGCGGGGGTGGAGGGGGAGGAGCGGAGAAGGGATAATGAAGACGGAGCAGAGGGGCCGCCGAGACAGGGAAAGGGTGGAAAGGAAACGGGGGGAGGGCGAGGGCGAGGGGGGGGAAGGAAATTCGGGCACCCCCACAGGCCGCGGACCCAGAGCAGCCTGCCATAAACTGATGGACGAGCCCACGCGAACGACAGCCGCAGCAAAGGAAAGGAGCAGCGCAGCATGCACGCACAAGAAGAACGTCCGAACGATGGAACGCACGTGCGAACCTATATGTATATGTATATATATACATATATATATACATATATATATATATGTATAGAATGCACATGTAAACTATACCGCATGGGTGTATGCTCATGACTGGTTTTCGATCATATGGTACATCTTCGGCCCGTAAAGTATACGATTGCGCGTACATTTCTGCTTGGAAAGATGATTTTCGATGCGGTGAATGGTTGTGCGTTTGGCGTATGCCGGATGTTAAAGCTTAAGCATCGGGCCCGGGGATGCTTAAGGCTAAGCATCCCCGGGCTCAGAGGATGCTCTGGGTAGCTCGCAGCTCCCTGCGGACGGTCGCCCAGGTACACACCCGCTGGTGCGGGTGCCTCTCCAGGAGCCTGAAGACGGCGCTGGGTATGCATAGTAGCTCCCTCCGAAGCAGGGCGCCCCAGATCCACACCCCCAAGAGCGAGCGCAGCTCCTCGGTGTGGAGGGTGCGGGTGGCGCCCATCTCCTCCAGCTGCCGCACCAGCTCCCGCGCCCTCTTCGGGGGCAAGCGCAGCTGCGCTGGGCGCGCCTGTGGCGCGTAGCCCAGCACCTTCTGCATGTCGCTAGCCTCCGTGCGGTCGGTGACCACGAAGCCGGCCTCGGCCAGGGCATCCGCGAGATGGTGCATCTTCTCTGTGGCCCGTGGGCCACAGCCGCTGCCACCGGCCATCACCACCCCGTCGTCGACGCGCAGGTAGAAGGCCATCTGCGGCCCGTCCAGCACCAGCCCACGGCCGCGAAGCACGTCCTCGTTCCGCACGGCCACCGCTGGTGCCGTAGTGCTCCGCGAGCTCCAGGCGGTGACCGACCTGTCGGCCTCCGGCGGCCTTCGCCACCCGGTGCCGCCCAGACCGGTCTGCTCGAAGATGGCCAGGGTCTGGACAATCAAAGCGCCCAGCGCTTCGCACATCCCCTCGGGGTACTGGGCCAGCGGGCTCGTGCGGAAGGTGCCGTCGGCCAACTTGCCCTCGGCCGTCTCGTGGGCATGGGGCCCGTCACACCGCAGCTCATCCAGGTCCTTCAGTCCCTGCAGCGTGCCGCTCAGGCATGTGGGCTTCTTCGTCCGTCCGCCCAGCATGCACTGGTCCAGGCGCGCTCTCTGAGACGAGCGCCTCGTCTCGAAGTCCTGCATCTCCGTCGTGTTCCAAATGGATGGGTAGGGCGCCTGCCCTGGGTCCTCCGGGTGCTCGATGAGGAAGGCGCCGCCACTCTGGCCGCGCGCCTCGCAGAGTGCCAACAAGTTCAGCGTCAGGGTGTTGCTTTCCGCTACTCTAGCGGCCTCCCAGGCCCTGAGGCCTGGAAGCCCCCAGGGGCACCGCCGCGAGCGCACTGGCGGCGGCCCTGGTCGGCGACGATTGTAGCGAGCCCGCGACCAGGTCGAACAGGGCGGGCCTCCCAGCACGACGTCCACCCAGCCGCCTTCGCACAGCTCCATCAAAGCGGAGAAGGCGGGAGGGCTGGCCAGGTCCCACCGCGGGTCGTCAAGGAGATCGGCAGAAAGAAAGAGCACCCTCAGGCTCCGCTCCATCGCCAGCCTCTCTACCACCTCCTGAACGTCGCCACGCCGCCGACGGCCAGCAAAGAGATGCATCACCACCATCACACGCTCGTCGTCCCGCTTCGCCCGCCTCACCGCCTCTAGCCACTCCGCCACGCTGTAGCCCGACGGGCTAGGCGGCGCGGCACGGCAGCTGGACTGCTGCCCGAGCCAGTCGTCGTCGTAGCGATGCTGCTGAGCGCCCTCCGGTCCGGCATCCCCCAGGTCGTCCGCCTCCAGCCCCCCGTCCTCGGGCGGCGAGGCGCGCGGCGCCCCGCTGGCCCCGCCCTCGGCGGGCTCCGCGGCGCCCGCGAGCGCCCCCAAGCGAGCGCCCACGCCCAGCAGCGCCCTGCCGATGATCGCCATGTTGACCGTCATGAGCAGGTGCACGGAGTGCGAGCCGCCCATGGCCAGGCGGTGGTAGCAGGGGGCCACCCAGCCCGTCGGCCCCACCAAGTCGCGCAAGCGCTGGCTGAGTTTCCCCCGCACCCAGCAGGCGCGGATCGGCGGGCAAGCCTGCCACTTGGCCATCCAAGCGGGGACGCGGAGGCGGGTGAAGGCGTTGTCCTCGTCGAACGCTGCTACGCCCCACTCGTCCGTCGGGGCGCACATGGAGGCGATGGCCGCTCCGCCGTGCATCCCGTGGACTCCGCGCTGGTGGGGGTCGGCCCACACGTAGTTGCTGGCACACATCATCAGGACCTTCCGCTGCTTGGTGGGGTCCTTCTTGGGCACACAGCTGAACCCGCAGTAGGCCTGGACGTCGTTGGGGTCCTCGAACGTCCACATGTCCTTCGGCAAATCGGCCCGCATCATGTAGCGGGCGTACTCGGACGTCGAGCCCCCCACGAAGGCGAAACGCTCCTCCAGCTCCTCGAAGAGGACCCCCGACTTGCCGCTGTAGTCCAGAACGTTCAGCTCGTCCGAGTAGTACTGGCGCTCGCCGTCAGGCAGCGCCTCCAGCAGGTCCACGACCATGTCGTCGGGGGGTTCTGCAACTGCCGCGGCGCACATCATCACATGCCTGCTCACACCCTTGCGCTCTCCTGTGTAGGCATCCTGCGGTCCTCGGTCGCAGGCAAGATCCGTCCCTTGACCGCCTGTCGGGGCAAGCCCCCGGCAGTCGCGCTCGTACCGCGCTGCGTCCTGTAACGCATACTGCTGCACGAGCTGCCAGGCCAGCATCATGTCGTCGTTGCTCGGCTCACGCTGGCCCGCTGGTCTCGCCTCCAGGGATCCGCGGCCCATCCCGTTCATGAGCTCGATGAGCCCACAGGCCCGACGCCACACACGCATGCGCCGAGCCCAGCGCGTCCTCAACCTGCCGGAAGAGGAACCTCCTTGCTGTGGCCGATGAGGTAGAGGTACTGGGAAGAAAGACCTGGCCTCGGCCTCCTTCCACTGCAGGGCCCGCATCAGCGAGCCAGGCAAACCCGTCACTGGCATTCTAGGCTGCACCCGCGGCCGCGGGGCACCTTCTCGGACCGAGGGGGGGTCGCAAGCCCCTCGGTCCGCCAGTGGCTGTCAAGCCTGAGGCTTGCCCCGGCCCGAGGGCTCACCCCCTCGGCCGCGGCCGCGCCCCCCGCCATCGCCACCTCTGCCTCTGCCGCCGCCCGCCGCTTCGGCGCCGCCGCCAGCTCCACCTCCGTGACCACCGCCACGGCCGCCGCCTCGGTTGTCGTGCTTGCTGGCGGCGTGGACCCTCTCGTCACGCTGGTGCTCAGCCTTGCTGTGGGTCGTGGCCTCGGTCACCAGCCATGTGGGAGCCAAGTCGGCGGCCGACCCGGGCGGGCGTACGGCCAGCATGGCCGCCGCACCCACCTTGTCCTTCGTCCGCATCTCGTAGACGTAGCTCGCCAACCGCCTCAGGTGCAGCTCCAGCGCATCGTCGGACGCCAGGCGGGTGAGCAGCTCGGACTGGGTCCTGCACCCGCCCAGCAAGTAGTCCACGTTGGTGGCGGCAGTCCACAGGTCGGTCCAGACTGCCGTGTGGCGCTGGCCCGTCACTTCCAGCGACAGCCAGTCGCGAGCGCTAGCCGCCCCAGCGCCCCGCATGGTGCGGTAGATCTCCGGCGCCGCGCGCCGCAGGTCCGGCGGGAGGCTGAGGTTCCATCGGCTGTCCTCCTGCTGCTGCTGGGTCACCGGGGCCACGGCCCACCCAGGGGAGGCGTGCATGCCCCCGCCGTGCGGCGCTGTGGCGGAGGAGAGCAACGCGTCCAGCTCCTGCTGCAGCGAACCACCTGGCGGGGACTTCGTTCCTGCGCCCACGTAGCCGTGGGTCTGCAGCACGCGACGGAGGTCAGGATGCAGCCCCATGGAGCCATCCACCGCCGCGATTCTCTCCCAGAAGTGCCAGGCCCAGTACACGTTCGTGGCCGCCTGCGCCTGGAACTCGCGCAGCGTGGCGCCCACCATCTGGACCTCGCGCCCTAGCTTCACCGCGTCTGCAGGAGCATAGGGCGCGTGGAAGCTGAGCCCCGACGTTGGCACGCCTACCTCTGGGCTCGGCTGTGGCTGCTGCTGCTGCTGCTGCTGCAGGGCCGCCGTCTGGCTGAAGGGGCCTGGCACCTCGGACCCCTGGCCGAACGCCCGCAGCGCCGCCAGGTCCTGCGCGCCGGGCTTTGCTGGCGGGGTGCCCCCGCCCACGCCTTCGGCAGGTGGGGCCCGCGGCGACGGCGGCAGCGCTGCCAGCCCCGGGGGGTGCAGCGGGCCAGTAGGAACCTCCGTGGCCCCCGCGCCACCCCCCTTGGTCGTCGGGGCCCCCTTCGCGTCCCAGGCCGCGCAGTCGTCCTCGGCGGCGGTCAGGTCCAGGCCGTCCCCGCCGCTCCTCAGCGCCGCGGCGAAGGCCGAGCGCCGCCTCCAGCGTGCCCACCAAGCAACCACACGCTCGGGCACGCGCCGTACTAGCAGGACGGTGCCACACAGCCCCACAGCTGCGCCTGCCAGGCGGTGCCGCCCGGAGTCGGCCCCAAGCACCACCACCAGGCTGGACAGGAGGAGCCCTATGCCCAGGTGCAGCAGCCAGTCGGTGGGCAGCGTGCCGCCGTCGTCGCCGACTGCACGGGCCCAGATCCGATCCGCGATCCTCTCCCAGCCATCGGTATCGGCCGCCACTCTCCTGATCCGGCTCTCCGCCTGCGTGGCGTACGTGGCGGCCTCAGTGAACCCCCAGAGGGCCTCGGCCATCTCAGAGCCCGGGACCTCCGGGTTCCCCAGCGCCAGGCGGATGGCCACCGGGTCCAGCGCTGCCTCCAGTCGTCTAGCCTCGTCCAGCTTCGAACGGGGGGCCCGCCCCGCGTTCAGCGTCGCCCTCACCTTCAGGACGAGGCTCGCGACGTCGTCGTCCGAAACGTCAGCCCCAGCGGCCCGCAGCGCGTCGGTCCCCGCCTTCTTGGCTCCTGCCGACACTGCCATCCTGCCCTGCCTGGCGTCGTCGCGCCTGTGGCGCTCGGCGTCCAGCACACCAGCTCGCCGCGGCCTGCTGCTCCTGGGCAGCGCGCCACGGCCTCGCACAATCTATGATTCCACGGGTGGAGTCCGCTGCTCCCGTCAGGGCGCCATGCCGCGCCCTGCTGCGAGGTGGGCTGGGCGCCCAGTCCTCGCGATAATCTGTACCAGATTGGAGCCACATGAAACGGTTGCGGAGCAGGCCGTGCAGCACACGCGAGGGCAGGGGGCCTTCACGGGCAACCAAAACCAAACCTACCGAGCCCACCCGTTTTGGAGGGCCGAGGGGAGCCAGGCCGGGAACGTGGCCCACCGGCGAAAAGGCCCCCCCACAAGCTGGCACGCCCCTGCGGGCTCCGAGGCTCCAAGGAAAATTCCACGATCCCACCCCAAACTGTCGGTGCACATCAACACTCATGCTCTACGATTATTATCCCATCATCATCATCAGCATCATCATCATCATCACCACCACCACCACCACCACCATCATCATCATCATCATCATCATCATCATCATCATCATCATCATCATCATCATCATCATCAACATCATCATCATCATCATCACCACCACCACCACCACCACCATCATCATCATCATCATCATCATCATCATCACCACCTCTCCTCTGGCTCCTCCTCCTCATACTCTTCCTCCTGCTCCTCCACGGCAACTCCTCGTCCTCCTCGCCCGCCTCCTCCTCCCTTTCTCCCCTCGTGCTCCGTGTTATTCGCATTATTGCGTTCCTCCTCCTGCTCCTCATCCTCCTCCACTGATCCTCCTCGTCCTCCTGCTCCTTCTCCTGCTCCTGCTCTTGCCCCTCCTCCTCCTCCTTCTTCCCCTGCCCATCCCCCTCCCTCTGGTGAAGGCGACAGCGACCATGTGAATGAAGGGGCGATGCGCCAACGGGCTTTCGAGTGTCAAGAACGGGCTCTGCTTTCGTGGCTCCATCCTGTTACACTTTGTCTCCACTGCCGCCACCTCATCCCGCCTAGATGTTCACCACCCTCGCCCGCTATGGCTCAAGCTCGCTGTTGCTGATGCTGATCCCCCTCCTCCTCCTCCTCCTCTTCCTCCTCCTCCTCCTTCTTCTCCTTCTCCTCCGCCTCCTCCTCCTCCTCCTCCTCCCATCCTCCCGTCTCCGCGGCGGAGGAGGCGCCGCCTGCGCGGCGCACACGGCCCGGGGCCTGTCCTGAGGGAGCGGGTGGAGGAGGGGGGGCGGCGGGCCAAGGCCTCCCTCCCACCCCCTCCTCCCCGCCTCTTCCCAAGAGTGGGGGGCGCCGGGGGGACGGGGGGGGAGGATGACGAGCATTTGAGTACGCGGACGAGGCGTGGGAGGAGGAGGAGGAGGTGGTGGAGGAGGAGACGGATGAGGAGGAGGAGAAGGATGAGGAGGAGAAGGAGGAGGAGGAGGAGGAGGAGGACGGCGGCAAGGAATGGGGACAACGACGAGCACGAGGAGGGCGACGGGGAAGGGGGCGGGGACGAAACGGAGGAGGGCACGGGGGCACGGTGAGGGCGCGACGATGAGGGAGGGAATGGGAGATGGAACATGGGAGATGAGAGATGAGAGGAAGAGGAGGAGGAGGATGAGGAGGAGGAGGAGGACGAGGAGGAGGAGGACGAGGAGGAGGAGGACGAGGAGGAGGAGGAGGAGGTGCAGGAGGAGGAGGAGGAAGTGCAGGAGGAGGAGGAGGAAGTGCAGGAGGAGGAGGAGGAGGCGGAGGAGGAGGAGGAGGAGGTGGGGGAGCAGAGGACGAGGGGGGAAGGGGGGACCTGGAGGAGGAGAGGAGAGAGGGAGAAGGGAGGAAGAAGAGGACGAGAGGGGGAGGGTATGAGGATTAGGGGGGGTGATGATGACAGCACGTTCGGGACATGTGAGCAGCACCTCCGCATTGATGCCAAAACAATGCAATCATGGTGCGTGTGATAGTCCTGGTGAGCATTGCCTCTGACAGTGAGCACAGTGGACGTATGCACGCGGTACCTGCATGCATGAAGTGCGTGCTGCGAACGTGTGTGTGTGCGTGATACGAATAGGATGGTAAGGCTGGAATGTGAACAGCGTGCGCATTCTTAAAGCGAGTCGAAACATATTGACACCAGCTCGGGGACGATGACGATATCGTTTTGCGGATTCTGTCGAGTTGCACACCCCCTGGCTGCATGCCAGCATCGTAATACGCTGGGCAGCGGGCGCTGCCATCAAAATAAGCACTTCGGCCGATAGAGGAGAATGTAAGGCATATGAATAAGACAAGCTGGCGAGCGCATGTGCAGCCACACACACGTGAAACCTGCAAGTAGGACGCATTACAAGGGTCAGCATGCTGCGTTCGACACACTTGCTGGGATTTGAAGATGGGCGCAACCCTTTGCCCTTTGCCCATTGCAGGTCTGCGTTCTATCTCCCTTGCTCGTCCCCAATCTGCTCATAGCTTGGGGATCCCTGTTTCGGCTGTCCGTAATTGCTGGTTTGCAAACGCCACCAAATATAGTGGCACGATCGTATCACGATAGCTCATCAAGGGCATTGGCCTGCGCAACGATACCTGCACACAATGAGACTAAGCACTAACCGCTTTCGCCGAGAGAAGGGTCTGACGAGCAGCGTCGCCCTCCACCTGAACTCCGTCGTCAACGTCCTGCTCGCCCTCCTCCTGCACCTCCTCCTCTTCCTTCCCTTCCTGTTTCTGTTCCTGCTGCTGCTGCTGTTCCATATCTTCACACACCCGTCACACCTCTCCCCCTTCTTCACCTCGTCCACCCTGCTCATCCGCCTCCTCTTTCCTTTGTCTATCCATTCCAATTCGTCCTTCTCCCACCCCCTATCGCTCCATTTTTCCCGTATCAATAATTTCCCCCTGTCGCATCCGAGGCAAGTTTTTAGGGCGGGCCGGGCGTTTCGCCTGAGACTTCCTCGCCAGTTCTGACTCTGAATCTTAGAGATTGGCAATAGTTTCACAGACGGAAGGCGGGCGGTTTTCAAAAGGTGGCTCTCGCCTTAGCTCGGCGAACATTCGTTTTTTAAGACATAAGAGCTTTGCGGATTGAGGGCGGGTGGTTTTCAAAAGGTGGCCCTCGCCTTAGATCGGCGCAAATCCGCGTTGAATATTTGCAAGAGTTTCGCGGATTGGGGGCGGGTGGTTTTCAAAAGGTGACTCTCGCCTGGGTTCGGCGCGCGCTCGTGTTAAATCTTTGCAAGAGTTTCACATGTTGAGGGCTGATGGTTTTTTCAACATGTGGCTCGCGCCTTCGCGCCGCGCAAATTCGTTTTCAAAAATTTACAAGAGCGTCGCGGATTGAGGGCGGGTGGTTTTCAAAAGGTGGCTCTCGCCTTAGCGCGGCGCAGATTTGTCTTTACATTTGCCAGCGCCTCGCAGATTGAGGGCGGCTCTTTTTCAGAATGTGGCTTTCGCCGTGGCACCGCTACGTACCAACAAATAGATGTTCGGAAGAATTGAAGATTTTGCTGTAGCAACAGTTACGTTGGCTCTTTGTGCTGACGTCCTGGAGATGGCGTTCTGGCGCGGTTCAGGATCGTCAAGACGCAACAAGCAGGTTGATCCGCGGCGTTGGGATCCCGAGAACAATATTTTGACATGGTTCAAGGTCTGTATACGGGTGTCTTTCAACGAGCCAGTTCCATCAATGGACATGAACAGTTGTAGGGGCCTGTAAAGAGGGAGCTTGGAGGGACGGTTTACTCCCACATCGTTGATGATCCACGGGCTTAAACTGGTCCTTTTCCTCCTCCTCCTTCTCCTCTTCCTCCCCCGCCTCTTCCTCCTGGCGCGTAGGCGGCGCGCCAGGTCCACCTACGCCGTCCTCTCGTCGGCCGCCGCCCTCGCGGCGGCCGCCCTCCTGGCGCGCCTGCGGCGAGTAGCGCGCGCGTGTCGAGACCCCCCTGCGCCTGCCCATCTGTGACGGGCGGGAAGGAAGAGCAAAAGTATGGCAGGAAATAACATGAGCGATGGCAGGGATCTCGAGCAGCGCACTCTACGGGTCAAGGAGACCGAGGCGGGAGATCACACGCGGAGAAAGGTCACCACCAAACACCGAGGCCAGGATATCCGGGAACACGGGGCAGGAGAGGTAGTGGGATGTGTTGTCTGGTGCCCTGCAGCCGAAGATGCGCGCGCTCTCTCGGTCTTGAAACCGTCTGCCCGTCGTCTAGGCTCCAGACGCGGTCTTGACCCGCGCCGTTGCCCACGGGCTCGGGAAATAACGGGCGGCGGCCCGGGTCTCGGGCCATCGGATCTGCAAGATGGCAGGCCGACTCTCTGGGAACAAGCTCAAGAGCCTAGACTGCAACGTCCCATGCAAACGTGCTGGGAAGAAGTGAGCTTTCAGCTCACGGGCAATGGTTGGCTGCAGCTTGGGTGGGGGGTCGCCCGGAATCTTCGCGCCCTCTTCCAACGCCTGGCGGCCGCCGGCAGCCCGCCCGGGGAAGCTCGGAAATCCTCGCGCCGCTTCTCTCAGAAAGGACGCGCCCCATAAGTCGGGCGAGAGCTGCCCCCCTTATAACTTTGACAAAAGGAAGCGCCAGCAAAGCTTCATCACGCAGCGCGTCGCACAAGGCGGCCAGGAGGCGAACGCGCGGAGAGCGCGTCGCACGAGGGATGCAAGATTGACCGCGAGACAACTGGTGATGGGCGCCCCCCCCCCCCCACGAATCGAGATCGACGCAGTCGCTACGCGTGAGAGAGCGACGAGGGGCGGGGAAGACGCGGGCGAGGCACGCGTGTTCGGCGCGAGCGAAGAAGGGGGGGAGCAGGACATGTTGGGAGATGCACGAAAGGACTGCGGCAGCACGCAAGTTGCACACTCGTGCTGTGGCAGCCGGTGAGGCACGCGCTGCAGCAGCAATGGAAGTCCTGGCGCAATGTTTCAAGAAGGGGGCGACCCGCGACTGCTCGGACGACGACGGATCTATCGCCGCGCCCAGGTACCTCAGTGACCGGCGACTGCTGAACTCCTTCCGCCCAGGGAGATCAGCGCACAGCCGCGAACGAATGTCTGCTATCACTTCGGGCGTGCACGGGGCAAGCAACGGCGCCAGACAGCGCTTTCTGCACTTCGGGCAAAGAGAGGCGACGCGCCGAGCCGCTCGAAACACCGCGGTCGAAGAACCGTGATCTGGGAAACGCATGCTCCTACATCACCCGCGCAAGCTTCGACCTCTCCACGGCCTGGGGACACAAACAAGGACCGGACATGTTGCGTGAATGGGTGCGATGCTATCGAATAAAGGACCCCCGGCGCTGGGGACCCCTGCATTATTCCCGATGTGCTCGCAGACAGAAAACGACTCGGGAATGAGACCTGGCCTACACAGTTGACACTCCCATAGATCATTCTGATGAAAAGTAAAAGGGAGGAGGCAACCTCAAGGACGAGAGAGAAAGGAAGATCCACTCCTGGGAAATCGAAGGACCAGCTTGGCCAAAATCAAACGCGGCCAGCAGCGGCCTGCGGATCTCGGCCCTAGGTTTCAAACCTCAGTAATGCTATTCTACTGGCGAAGCTTTTGACGACAAAACGCAATTCAAAAAATAAGCGCTTAAACGCCAAACGATCGGTATAGCGTTGGACGAATCTCGGCTGACCGAACGCGAGAACGCGAGCGCCCGCGCGATGCTCCTTGCTGCAAACTGATGCCCCGATGGGGATCACGGCATCAGCGTTTGGCGCGAAAGTGCGCGGACCGAATTGCCTGCCAATCGCGACGTTGCGATCAGGAACCGCCGCGCCAATGACAGCGGTAGCAATGATAATCGAACAAACACTTTGGAGCAAGTGGCATTGCGACAGCCACATCAAAGGCGCCCTTGCGTTCAATGACACATTGAAGGTCGCGCAACCACGCGCGAGCCCCATGCGACACTGCAGCGCACAACAGCATGATGAGCGCAAAAGTACACAAGCAAACGCGACGCGCGTGCTTGCGCGCGCTAACCTACAAACGCGTGGGCTCGCGGGTGCGCGCGCGCATGTTCGAGGGCAGTGGCATCGCCTGAATTCGCGGCGCGGTGGCAACTGGTTGTGCAAAGCTGCAGGTCGCCAGGCGCACCTCTGAAAATTCTCGGGGGCGCAGATCCATAATGAGAACCGCGCAGTGCATCCAAAGAGACGCGATCACGCGAGACGCACTTTCGCGCGAGACAGCGGGGCGGCGTCGGCAACGTGGCGGCGGGCAAGAACGCAATACATTGTGCTGCCGCGTTTGCAAACCCAGGCTCCCCCGTGAACTTGTGCGACCAGTACGGGTTCCCGAAACAGAAGAACTTACACTGCGCCAGGTATGGTGGAATGGCCCCTGCTACTATTCTGGCGCGCGAGTGGGCCAGGCAGGGCAATTATTTTGGCGCCGCGTGGGCCGACCATGACTGCGAGGAAGGTTATGCACTCACGCAGAAGGATATCGATGGGCTCGGACAGGGCCCGAAATTCCTGGATACCTTGCATGCTTTCGCCAGGCCCGCCGATCTGCCAGGATCCATGCTGGCTCGGGGTCCACGTGGCGGCGCCGCCTCATGTGGGCGCACCCCTCAGGCGTTTCGCGGTCCCACATGGAGCTCCCCCGAAGGCCCCGGCGGCATGGCCCCGTGGCGGCGCCGCCCATGTGGGCGCACCCCTCGCACGGTTCGTGGCCCCACATGGAGCTCCACTGACGGCCCCAGTGGCAGGTCTACATAGCGGCTGCGCCCCATTTGGGCGCACCCTTCGCTCGGTCCGCGGCCCCGCATGAACTCCACCGGAGGCCCTAGCAACGTGGCCCACATGGCGGCGCCGCCCCATCTTGGCGCACCCCCAACGCAATCGCGGCCCCACTTGGTACCCACAGCTGCATATGGTTGGGTGTTTCGCCAGGCGCATCTCAGTCCAGGTCCTAATAGGCCTTTGCGAGGCCCCGTGGGCGACCGCGAGGGATTCTTTGAGTTTCTTGACATGCGTGGTCTCCCGCTCTTCGGCGCGAAAGAATTAAGTTACGTCGCCTGCTTGCTGCGTCGCGCGCGGGGCGGACTTCGCTACCATTGTGCCCACAACGCATCCTGCGTACGTTTGTGATGCTGGCATCGAGGTTACAGATTGGAAACCAAAAGTGCCGCGATCACTTCGGCGCCCGCCGTGCGTGGATCCGTCGGGACACGTACTCTACAAGCAAATGTCTTTCTCATTTCGTCATCATCTGCTCTTGCCGCCGCTCTCGCATCCGCCCCGTGCTGTTTTTGCCCTGCCCTGGCTCGCGTTCCTTATTGTGGTCCTTCTGCGGTGCGCGCGCGCGCCCTTGCTGCCATTCGACCCGTCGGCCCCCCTGCACCTATGCGCTGCGGGCGGCGCCCAGCCGACAGAAAACGATCGCCCCGACAAAATTGGCCGACAAAAAACCGAATCGCCCCAACAAAAAAAATAACCCCGACAAAAAAAATCGGCCCGACAAAATGGGCCGACGAAAAAAAAATGGACCGACAAAAAAAAACGACGGCCGCGCCCAAAAAATCTGACCGACCCAAGAAAGTGTCGCGACAAAATCGTTCCTGGCTTTCGCTGCGGGGCGGATTCCCTGTAATTTCATAATTCGGATGCACCCCCCTGGACCCCGCGGCAATTTTGTTCGACGGTCCGGGTGGGCATTTTGTCG